CATTTGGAAGATGGGAGTTCATAGTTTTGGGGACAGTCACAAATGAGGAAGATGGTGAAGGAAAATTTGCTGGATTACACAAGAGAAAGTGCTACAGAAGTAATGGACTACCAGGAAGAGCTCCTCTCTGCTCTTCATGGTAGTACAGAGGGAAAGCCAGCTCAGTAGACTTGGTTCCAATTCTTTGCTAAGCTGACCAGAAGTTCCACTTTGGACTCTGTGGCTTTAAGGGTCAATCCAATTCCTGGTACTACCAGAGGCTATCCTTATGCAAGACACTACTTTTTCTCTCCCCTTTACCTTCCAAATCTGTGAAAATCTCCTCCTTTGCCTGACCTAATGAGAAAGTATCTTGTAATGAACCTACATTTTGTATCTCTCTTATTTCTTTTAGAACTAGAAAGAAATATGGGTCTGCATGTTCATTTGCTTTAATCAGAAGGGGAGAGTGCCAGATTTCTTCTCATCCACTTAAAACTCTAAAAAGTCCTGAAGCAGAATGTAAGGAAACTTAAAATGAATAAATATAGTAAGAAATACCTTTGCAAGCCAGCAAGAAGCTGTCTCAGTGGAATGAATCCAAAGCAATTCCACATTCTACACAAGTCTTACAGGGCTGCGCAGCTCCTTAGCAATGCCATGTTTCTTCTTCCCAAGCACATTTTTTAAGCTACAGTACATAATGATCAAATGGATTCCAGGCAGGCTTAGCTTGGAAACTGGAAGGCTGTCACCCAAAACTCTCCCTTTGTTTGTCATTTCATGCCACAGGCCTTGGGGAAAATCATCTGCATTTTAAATAGACCCAGAGGCATTGCTCATGTGTCATTGTCAAAGGCAACAGCCCTGAAAAAACAATCGTTACTGAGGGAAATTTCCTTTTAAACATAACAAAACTTTATTTTTCCATCTCTTCTTTGCCTGCATCCTAGTCTTCACCTTTCTTTGTATACAGCCTTGTAAAGATTTCACATATAAACCTATCAGTCCTACAGGAAATACCTCACGCATGAACTGCATACAGTCAAGCAGAAACAGAGCCAGAGCTTTTCTTTTGCGATGAAATAAAAAACAGAAGTAGCCCACGCATTGTAAGAAACCAATTACCATAAGCAGTAATAGAACGGGTTAAAAAATTAGACACATCAACTATAACAGAGGATAGGCTAACACTAAGGCAGAATCTTACACGAGTAGAGAACTGGTTTGCAGACTCCCCGAAACAAAGCCCTCATTCAGCCACTATTGTGTTTTATTTTTAATTGATTTTCTCCCATCTT